CTCTCTCTCTCTCTTTCTCACTCTCTCACGCCTTTGCCCTCCTCTAGCTCTCTCTCTCTCGCCTTTGTCTCCATCGTCGTCGGGTACGGGAGCATCACCGCCATCGCACAGGAGCACCACCGTCAATTGATTTCTCTCTCAAAATAGGTATTGTTTATGTTATACCTATACCTATACTTCAAATTTTTTAAGAAGATTCGAAGTCGTTGATGGGTCTGCTCAACTCCGGAGATCAACGGCCCTTCGATGAAATCATGGCGGATTTCAACTCCAATTTCCCTCGCCCCCTCCATTTCACTCTTTGCTCTCGCCTCTCCAATCTCTTAGAGGCAACTCTCTCTCTCTCTCTCTCTCTATATATATATATATAATTTTTTTATTTATCAATTGTAATGGAGATTTTCATACTTGATTAAGATACTAAATTTAGCTGATTGGAGTTTAGATGTAAGAATTTGGAGAGTTAGGGCTTTGTTTATTGGCCATATGAGGTGTTGGGTTCTGAGATTGAACTTGAAATTGTTGTTAGGTTTTGTACGCAAACACGAATATGCACACTTTTTGGTTTTCGAAAATTGAATTATGCGATTTTGGGAATTTCTAGTATGGGTGCTTATTAACACTGAAAGGGGGCTAATTTTGCTCTTTATGCTAGTCATAACTTTCGTATCAATTGAAATTCTAATTCAACTCAACTTTATTTTGGGGTTTCACTAATCTTTGCTTTCTTTTTTCACTTTATTCATGTTCTTTTTCTTCTTCTAATTTTTTTTTTAAAATTTATTTTTGGTTAGGGTTTCACTTAAACATTGCTAGATGTCTACCTACTAATCTGACTGCTCTTTGCTTGCCCTTTTCTTGCTTTGTGTTTAACACTGTGTGAGTGAAAGAGAAGACAAATGAATTAGGGAAAAAATGTTGAGTATGCTATCTATTTGTAATTTTAAATGAAAAGATTGCCATTCCTCATATCTTTATTTGTTGGACCCTTTGCAGCTCTGTTATTTCACATTTATCATTTCACTGTCTAATTGAGATGGCACATCATCATAAATTATTTTTTGGCATAAGTAAATTTGATCATCTGGTTTGATGCAAGCCTTATTCTCCCTCCCTTTCTCCCTGAATTTTATATTAAATTTTGCTACCTCATAGATACCTAATGTGAATGATGACTTTTCTGGGTTGTGGTATTGCTTGGTGATTGCTAATAAGCTACATATTGTTACAGAACAAGAAGATGCTTAAACCTACTCAACGTTTGGTTACTCTTGCTATTCTAAATCAGACTTATTCTTCCGAGCAGTCTTCTTCAAATCCGTTTTTACCTTTCCTTATAAATGTAAGTATACTTGCCATGCTTGATATTTAGTTGCTACAACAAGTTACTCTAGATTCTCTTATGCTGTGTTTGGTTGGGAGATTTGGAGAGGGATTTGGAAAGGGAAAGGGAAAAGATGTGTGAAACTATGTGAAATATAGGCATGATTTATTCACATTTCACCTACCTTTTCCATTTCCCTTTCCAAATCCCTTCCCAAATCCCCCAACCAAACACAGTATTAGGGACTGCTGCTAAGTACCTAATAGTGCGTTACGGTTGAAACGCGTTGAATACTATCATTATGAAGAGATGGGAACTCTTGTTGTTAAGGTAAGCGTGGAATTACAGAAATATATTACTGGCAAATTTAGTTTCTGTTGTTGGATAAAAATTAAAATTTGAATGCACCTTGTAATTATAGCCTACCTTTGCACAATTATAATTTATATCAACAGTAACAAAACAATACATTTGAATTGAACCTCATATCTCAAATGCTAATGACTCTTTGGGGACCTATTTCCCTCTTGAAGTTTTTGCTCAAACATTCAACCATATTTGTCTCTGCAGTTTTGAAGTAATTTTCTAGCTTCACTTTTATTACTGCCAAAAATATCACTGGTATGTTACCAGATCTTTTATCTGCACACTTGCTAGTAAACTTTCACACATATTTGGAATGCCCTCTTCCCTTCTCTTGGGCGAAAGCTTTAATACCTTGAAAAACATTTCCTCCCATACTTTTCTTCTTAAATTGAAATGGCTCGTCGTCTTTCCTGTTGTGGAACTTATTTTGATTTTTATTTATCAACAAAGTCTCTCTCTCTCTCTCTCTCTCTCTCTCTTCAAAATGGTCATATTTCCTTATGGAATTCTCGTGTATACGAAAACAGACTTAGCTTCTCAGGCATTTATTCACTTTTATATATTAAGTCAATGGAAACCCCAAGGGGTTGGCCTGGTGGCAAGGCCTTGAGTCTTGGGGAAATGCTCCCTCCAAGATTCAAGGATGGAAATCTCTTAGGTGTTAACAATTTCTTTAGCTAGAGTCATGTTATAATATACATGATATATATTATATGTAAATTATAGTCTAAACTGATAATAGTCATGAATCATTGTAGTATTGGTTGTGGACTGTAATAGTGGTAGAGCTAGTATATTATTAAATAAAAAATAGTTATGTCCCATTATGATGCTTAATGATGTTTTAAAGTGATGTTTGTTACTACTTATTGTGGTGGCTTTGATTCTGATTATGATGACTTTTGTTATGGATTTAATTGATGTTAGTTACGACTCAATATAACTATGATAAATGTGGAAAAAGTACTTATATGTTACTATTTGTTGATCTTTTTATTTTGTATAATATGTAAAAATTCTTTATAGTCTTATTTTGGTTCTTTTTATCTTGTTATGCCTGTAAAAGTAAATATTTTAGTACAAACATACATACAAAACTTTTGTGGAATTGTGATAAAATAATAAAATAAATTTTGTAATTTGTGCATATAAGTTGGCCCCCCTTAGCAAAATTTCTGCGTCCACCACTGGAAGCATCTGTTTTAATTTTTTTTGGAACCGTTAATCTCATGTAACCATATTGTTATAGAGGGGCCAATGAACTAGATTGATGTACCACAAGCTGAATCAGAATTGGTCGTGTCATTGCTATCAAGAATGTAGGACAATTTTTTAAAAAGCTTTTGGTTGTGTGGTGTTGCTTATATATTATATATATGTATACACATTGTATTTGTGTTGTTTCTTTTTGCATATCCAGATGATTAAATCACAATGGTCATCATTCAGATGTTATAATTGTATTCTATAACATGAAAAACAGTTCTCTTATTGGCTGTTTTTTATCATTGAACTTGATTGTTTTATTTGATACTTTTCTTTGAATGTTTCTTTATCTTTTTGCTTACATTCTACCATGGATTTTATGTTGAGAACTTGATAAAAGCCATGTGATTTTCATTTCTTTTTCAGCTTCTATTTTTTGGGTGTTCTTTTTGCCTCAATCTTCTCTGGTTTTGCAGGCTGCTTGTGACGATGAAGCTGAAAAAAGTGAAAGGGCATTTATTCTTCAACTTCTTGGCTCAATCAATTCTGGCAGCATCAAAGAGGTTCCATTTTCTTTGTTTTGTGCACTATCAATATTATTGTTGTTTTTCCCAAGATGGGATGATCTTGTTGATTAGGGATTAAACTCATTATAATAGTGAATGTGGTCCTTACCTAACTAATATCATAATTTTTTTGGGGTTGATTTGATTCTTGCTGTGGGATAGAGAATGCTAAACCATGCCATGTGGACTTGGAAGTGTGTTTTTGAATAGGTGTGTCTCTGAATGTTTAGATTTGCCAAATACTTGAAGCGAGGATCTGTCTAATTTGTAGAAGAATTTTAGGTGCATCATATGTGGCCTATGAAGCACGGGTACTCTAAAAATAGTGCCGTACGAGTACCGGGTACTTACCGGGTGCGGGTACGCGTACCGGTACGGCGGTACGCGTACCGGGTACGGCAAAAGAGGGTCCGGTACGTTTGGTTCATTCAGGTACGGCATGGGTACGCCAGGGCCTTTTTTTTTTTTTTTTTTTTTTCTCTCTCTGCCCTTGCAGATTAGCAATTATTATTATTATTTTTTATTTTTTTTTGGTGCCCTTGCAGATCAGTAATTTTTATGTTTCTCTATTGTCCTGTCTGTCTGTATAAATTGTGTAAGCATATCAGTAAATGATTTTGATATTTTTAAAAAGCAATTTGAACCAAAAAAAATAAGGCCTATAAAGTGTAGTTCTGTGTATGACTATGCATTATGCTTTTGCTTTAGATCCTCCTAAAATTTCTTTATAAAATCTTTAATCATAACAAACTTTTAAAGTTTATGCACAAAACATTAAAAATTAAGTGATTAGTAGTGGTTGGGAATGATGCAATTTTATGTATTATGCAAATTGCAATTGACAACCTGCCCCAATTGAGAATTTTTTTTCCTTTACTATTGGCAATTAACTTTAAATATTTCTTTGGTCTCCTGTTATTTCTTTGGTCTCACCCTATAAAAATAGCAAATTGATGAGCAAAAAGAAAGATTTTAAAAATAAATTATGATCACAAATTCACAGTGCATAACATGTCAAAGTGAGAGATTTCACAAATATTATTTTTAACACATTATAGGAAAATGAGTAGTTCTTTTTGTAGTTTTGATATTTAATTTTAATTTGTAGGTTAGATCCTTTAATCATAATTATATTTTAAAAAAAATAAAAAAATATCGGCGTACCGCAGCCGTACCCGTATCGTACTTTTTTTGAGTTTTGCCGAATCGGCGTACCCGCACTCGTACCCGTACCGTACTCGTACCGTACTCGTACCCGCACCCGTGCTTCCTTGTATGTGGCACATCTAGCATGTAATAGATATATCTATTATCGGACTCTTACGATTCGTGATTCTATTCATGAGTCAATTCGCTATTTTTGCAAAATCAATACGAATCTATGGGTGAATATATTTTGAAAGTGAATCTCAAGTGAATTGCACAATTCACAATCGATTCATCATTCGATTCACTTTTTACGATTCATGCAATTCTTGAAACTATCGTGTCCGAGATATTTTCAACTCTTTTTTTTTTCAATTTAGTGAAAATGACATAATACAACTTGTAATAACGTTTAGTACCAAAATAACCAATATATAGACATGATTTGTTGTTATTTTAGTGATCATAGAGTTTTTAATAGGATCCAATTAGATTCAGTCAGACTAAACATGTTTTTAACCTTTCTTTTCGTTTTTTTTTCCTGTTCATAAAAAATCATAATATATCTTCTAAAGATGTTTAGGCAGTGTTTTTAAAGGCTCGAGGAGCACCAAGGCGCTGAAGGTTCTTGGGGCCTAGGTACAAGGCGCAAGGCGAGGCACAGGTTTTATTGAAGCAAGGCATACAGTCTTAGTAAAAAATAGATAAATTAACATAAACTAATGATTCATAATGTAATGTGTGATGTCATGAATTAATTGTTTGTATTTTTTTCTTTTCTTCCTTCTAACAGAGACTCAAAACACAGACAATGATGTAATTGCAAAAAAAAAAAAAACACACACACACACACATAAGCATGGAAGAGAAGCCCCAAAAATAAAAATAAAAATAAAAATAAAAATACAACATAGTAGAAGAAAAAAAAGAAGACATGTGCTTGCTTATACAAACTGCTGCTATTCTCATTTTTACATTATTCCATGTATGAAGCCAAAAAGAAAACAAAGAAGCAAGAGAAGAAAAAAAAAAGATTGGAAAAAAACCCTAGCCCAGCAGCAAAAAAGAAGAAGAAGAAGAAAAAGAAAAACTTTGCCCGGCAAGAAAGAGAGAGAGAGTCAAACAAGCAGCAAAAAAAAAAAAAGAGAGCAAAGAAGAAGAAAAAGAAGAAGAAGAAGAAGAAGAGAGAGAGAGAGAGTCGAGACTCAAAGTGAAGAAAAAAAGAAAAAAAGAGAGCAAAGTCGAAGAAGAAGAAGAACTCACCTGGTCCCAAACAAGCCGAAGGGAAGAGAGAGAGAGACACACAACTAGCTTTCAAGCAAATACGAATAGAGATTAGGGCGTTTCGATCGATTTGGGGCTAGGTACTCTCGCATATAGCTCAAAGTTGTAATCCTCTATAATTCGAGCCTTTAAAAGCACGATTTGAGCCATTAGATTCATGTAGAGATCCAAAAACAAAAGTCGCGCCTAGGTGTGCGACTTGCACTTTTTCTCGCCTCTTTCAAGTCGTGCATAAGGCGCGCGCCTCTTTCAAGTCACCTTGCCTTGGGTACTTGCAAGTGCAATTGTTGCGCCTCGTTGCGCCTTGCGCCTACCTTTCACAACACTGTGTTTAAGATTAACGTAACTTACACCATGAATTATCTATTATTATTTTATTAAATTAAATATAGTTGAATATTGTATGGGTGCGGTCAGTTATATCTTTTAAAATGTTTTAGATTTTAAAATAAAAGATCCTAAATAATTCTTTCTTATTATTTGGTCGTTGTTACTTGATAAAGTATGTATGCTTATTGTCTAAATATGAATATCGTTCTTAAATTATTGTTACTTTGGAAATTGAGAGTTTGTTTTTGTTTATTATTTTTATTAAGAATGGTTGATAAGAAATATCTAAAAATGGGAATTGGTAAGATGGTGGTCTTCCATGGGAACTTTTGTTAATTTCTTACATATTAAACTATGTGATCATTATTCAAAACAACATTTTTATTGATTTAAGTCTAAATACTTCATATTTATAGGATATATTTAACACCCAAGTGCGTAGATATATTTTTTTAAATAATTTAGAAAAAGTGTCCGAATTTTTACGATTCACGATTCGATTCGATTCGCAATTCAGTATGAGGCCATTTCAATTCACGATTTGAATCCCAATTTGACAACACTGCCATAAAAGCTCTATAAAACTCTTAATCTACTTCATCTCTTAATCTGTGAAAGGAACTTAGCCTTCAATATTTACCTGCTAATTTCCACTCCTTTTAAGTTTTTCAAGGGATTATCAAAAGACAGTTTTTCCCACTATTTTGTTTAGATAAAGTAGATGCTTATGTTGATTCATTCATGTTGAACTCTTCTAGTTTTTTATTAGCTTGATTTCTCTCTCTCTCTCTCTCTATATATATATATATATGTATATATATTCCTTTTTCTTCTTTACCATAAATTTTACAAGCAATTCTTTTTAATTTTTCAATGCAGGTTCTTAAACTGTCTGCTGCAGATTTCATCAAAAGTTTTGATCCTTCATCACTTGTGAGTTTTATATCCGTTGATGCATGCAAGAAATTTTGCTTTTGATGTGTGTGTCCGCTTCATGATTATGTCACTAACTGGCCCTGTTACTAAAACAGTAAAATTCTGGATTTTTTTGATGTGTATTCTACATGTGTTCTTAGGTTGATACTCTATAATAATTTTTTCCTTCACTCTCAGTTTTTCCCACAGCTTGAACAGTTGCAGCAACAGTATCATAATAAAGTTCATGCAGAACCATTTAGTTGCTTATTCAAGGACACCTGCGTGAAAAATGTTGTACCAGACCCTGATATACCCCACGGTTGTGATGAAAATTCACCAGAGTATGACTCTTGCCAGTGAAATACAAATTATTCGAGGCGTTTACCTTTTCTTTTTGTTTTGGTTATGTTAGAGCTTTCAGTTGATAATTCAAACTGAGCGTGGAGCAGTCATTCCTATTTTCATCACTTTTATCTCTTTCCATTGTTTCATGCATGTAGCATTTCGGTCAAATTTCAGGTTTGAGCTGCAGCCTGGAGTTAAACCTAAAATTGGGTCTGGAGACAGAGATGATATGATAACTGGCTTGTTGCAGAATTTGTCTCTGGAAGGATTAGGTCCTCGATGGATCAGGCCCCGTCCACCAAGGCTCCCAATATTGGATGGAGAGGTAATACACGTATTAAGGGATCCTTATTCAATTAATTTGTGGAATTTATTCATTTTAAAAACTTATCCATGTCAAGTTTCTTGCAGCTTGTGTGGCTCAACCCTGGTAATAATCATGAGCTTTTATGGGATTATGGAATGTGTGCTGATACTAGCAGAGGGGCTGCTGTTAGAGATCTAATCACAAAAGCTTTGAAGGGCCCACTTGCACCTGCTCAACAAGAGGTGCTCTCTCTCTCTCTCTCTGTAATCTACAATGTGTAATAGATTAAATATTTGATTTGCATGACTTCAAAAAAAAAATTTTGATTTGCATGGAGTGCATCCATATAGTGAAGTTTTCTAGTGATGTTCAGCCCAATTGGAGATGTGAATTCAAGTGTGAGAGCGAACTTCCTAAAGTTTCCCATATATTTTGGGTCTTCTTACCTGGCTTAGGAAATTATGTGGCTTGTAAAAGAGAAAATGGCTCTAGGTATATAAAGGCGGTGTTTGGCATCACGGTTGGTAGGCTATTATAGCCTCTTTTTGGAAATTAGCCCATAAGCCCCTACTGTAGCAACTTTCTCTCTGATTTTCAAAAAAAAAAAAAAAAAAAAAAAAAAGGCTCAGGCACGGGACAGTGTAGGCACAGCCTACACTGTCACAGCTGCAAAGTGTAACATCAAGGGCAAAATTACCATTTTGCCCCTTTATATCAATTTTAAAAATAAAAAAGTTAGGGATAAATCTGTCATTTTAAATTTAAACATCATTTCAACACACTTTCCAATACAACAACTCAACTAAAAATTCATCTCATCTTCCCAAACACAAAACTAAAATAGTCTACTAAAATAGTCAAAAAGCCAAATAGCCTACTAAAATAGCCACTTCCCAAACGAGGCCAAAGATTCCATTTCAATCTAGAATGGAATCCGTTGTGTCTATTTTGGGGACTGACTATTTTAGCCAAAAAGTCAAAAAGCCAACTAAAACTAGTCACATCACCTCTCTACTTTTCTGCACATCTTTTCGTAAAAAGCCAAAAAGTTACTAAAATAGCCTGTTCCCAAACGAGGCCTTAACACAATTGCTTAAAGGGTGTTCATTCTTTGCATCTGAAGTTGTACAAATGAGGAAAATCCATCGTCCCACATCGAGAGTGAGGTGGTAGAAACCACTAACCTCTATACAAAAAGTTGTAGCGACGCCTCTAGTCATTCACAAGCATGGAAACTTCTATGGTGCCTTCTTGTCATCATAAAGTATGGGAATTGTTTTGCTCCAGGACAGTGCATGTTGTCATATGAGCGGCATCTTGGCTTTAATCAAAATCAAAGGAAGTGTTTGATCTTATTTTTACAGGTGTCTGAGTGTCCCTCTGGCACCCAACAAGCACCAAAATAAGTTATTAGAACTTGAAATAAAATAAAAAATGATATCAAATCATTAAATATGGCAAAGGTATGCGTGTCTTTTGCAAAAAGATCTAGAAAGCACGAATTTAGAGCTTGTGGGTAAGGCTACCAACAAATGACTAATATATGGTCGTATCTACCAATGTATGACCCTCTGTTATCAGAATCTTACGATTCGCGATTCGATTCACGATTCGATACGCAATTTTTGCAAAATCGATACGAATCTATAGGTGAATCTATTTTGGAAGTGAATCTCTAGTGAATCGCACGATTCACAATCGATTCACGATTCGATTCACTTTTTACGATTCATGCAATTTTTAAAATTACTGTGTTCGACTCACGATTCAGTACAAGGCCATTTCGATTCATGATACGAATCTCGATTTGACAACTATGGTATGACCTAAGAACCACGGACACTTCTAAGAAGATGACATGTCGTGTTGGACACTGTGTCGGATACTGACAATACACCACACTTGTTGAATACTTTCGATCACCTGTATTGGGGACACGTCCAAATATGTCGTGTATTAAAAAAAATTCTGGACTCGAAAATGCTTCAATCACTTGGGGAATATGTGTCTATCGCTTTGACGCACGTGAAACACATTATAAGTTCGAATAAAATAACTTAATAGCGTCCAATGATAAAAGTACAAGAATGTGAATTTATACTGAATCTCCTCCTTTAGACTTAAAATTATTATCTTTGAATTAAATATTTATATACATGACATATAATACATGTCCTTGTTGCGTCATGTGTCCATGTTTCTTAGTATATGACCGTTCTTGGAGAAAGTACGATGAGATTATTAGCTTGAGTACATTTTAGGTACCCTTTCATTTTATTGTCTGTTTTTGCGTGCTGCCCTTGCCATCAATAGGCAGACTGAACCATTATTCGCTTTGCATATTTTGATGTTCTAAACACATTTATAATTTTTGACGAAGCAGTATTGTTCCTACATATGATTTGAACCATTTTACTAATGAATTATGGGCATTTTTGTTGCCTACTATTCTCCAGCAAGTCTTAGTTGAGTTGACAAATGACCCCAAGCTTGTTTATCACTGTGGATTGACACCAAAAAAGCTACCGGTATGTTATTTCCTAAGCGCACACAGCATTCTTATTAGTATCTAACGACTGCTGTTCATGATCTCAAAAATCTTATATTTTTGTATCAGGAACTGGTGGAGAACAATCCCCTCATTGCAGTTGAAGTGCTCATTAAGTTGATGAATTCACCTGAAATTTCAGAGTATGTTCTGGTGCATTTATTTTATTTTTCTTTTTTCCCAACTAAAAAGAGACAAATCGTGGCTTTTCAATTTTCGTGTTCCTTTCACCTTTTAACTTCCTTTTGGTGTTTACAGATATTTTACAGTCCTTGTCAGTATGGATATGAGTTTACATTCAATGGAAGTTGTGAATAGGCTTACTACAGCTGTTGAGCTTCCCACAGAATTTGTACACATGTACATAACAAATTGCATATCATCCTGCGAGAACATCAAGGTCATTTCTTTAACTTTGTTTTCTTGGTGGTTGTTTTATGTAAATTGTTCTGTTGATCTGAGTTGTCAAGGTCAGCAACCACCATCTTCCTAGAGAGCCACCTCAACCATCATTATATTTTACAAGCTAGATGTAGAATTGAGAGTCATAGATGGAATTGTCAAGCTGCCGGGGGCTGTATTTATAAAGTCTATTTTGCACCCCGCGTTATTCCCTAGCATAATTCCAATGATAATAATAGAAGGGGGGTTAGAACAGTGGTTACTTGGACTAAAGAGATTCGACCAAATCCTAACCAAAAGATGAATTCCCTCTCCCCAACGTGGAAACCCTTATAAATCATGAATCAGCCACAGCATGTTCTCCTTCATGGTTGGCTTTAGTGGCTACAATCAGATCAAGATGGGCCCAAAAGATGCTCTTAAAACTGTTTTTCAAACACCCATCGGCAAGTTTTATGCAGTAATGCCGTTCAGTTTGAAAAATGTTGGGGCAACATACTAACAAAGCCATGATGACAACCATTTTCCATGACATGTTTCGCAAAGTCTTGGAATGTTATATTGATGATTTGGTGGTGAAATCTAACAAAGAGAAGATCCATATGAAAGATCAACAGAAGGTTTTTGAACGTTGCAGATGCTTTCATCTAGAGTAATAATAGGAAAGTTTTTTGGATGTGTGGTACATGGCAATGACATTGACCTTGACCCCAGCTGTGCTTACTGCCATCAAGGAGATGCCTTGCCCAGCTAACCTGGAAGAGCTAAGGATGTTCCTTGGCTGGCCGTCTTATTATGGTGTTTTATTCCTGCAATAGTTGAGAACACTTTTCTGAGCATATTAATTATGATGATAGGGAAAAAGGTTTTCTTTCTTTTCTTTTTTCCTTTTGGTTTGGCCTTGTGGAGGAAGGTTTTTAGGTTGACTTGATTGGTGTGAATGTCAGATGCCTTGGGAGTTGGTGCATTTAGTTGGTCCCTGACTCCCTTGCTAACGTGGAAAAATGAAATTTCAGTATTCTAGAAATTCCATACGGGTGAATGCATATACAAACATATAGACATACATACTAATTTTGTCTTGCCACTTGTACACTATTTCCATTTTCCCTGCTTACATGTTGGACAAACCACCGATTCTGGTTTGTGCTTCAAGACAAGACACCTACTGAAGGACTTTTGGTTGCCACTCTAAATTGAGGTTGGATTCTACTTTTGTGGATATCGTAAAAGATGACAAATTAGAAAGGAAATAAAGCAGTCATTTTGGCAATCAGTTATTTAAAATTAAAAGAATCACAGACACATGCTTGTGCAGAAAAGGTATGTATGAAGTGCTTTTTTTACAAATGTATCTTAAACCTTTGCCCTTATATGCAGGATAAGTATATGCAAAACAGACTTGTGAGGCTTGTCTGTGTTTTCTTACAGAGCCTAATCCGAAATAAAATTATCAATGGTAAGCTTTTCTAGATGCAGTTAGAACTTCTGCTTTCGAAGCCATTCAATATTATTATTAGATGTTTGTACATGCAGGGTTCTTTACCTATTTACTTTTTTTCTTTTTTTGTGATAATCATAGTGTAGCATATTGCTTTGTTTATGTGCATATGCAACTCTACTCCTTGCAATCATTGTCTGTGTATGTGATAAATAGAATTTAACTGTTTATGTAAGATGATTGGAAAAAAGAGAAAAAAAATAGAATATGGAGAAGATACATGTGATAGGATTCAATGCATGTGCGCACACGCACTTGGAGGTGGAGACTACAATGTGAAGTGTGTTCCTCGTATTATTTCAAATTACCACTTCACTTATTCTTCAGCAAGGAAAGTGGTAATTTTGAACAATTTGAGTTGTGCCAGATCATCTTCAACTCCCATTATATGATGAATTCGCTACAAAGAGAGAGCTGATGATAACAGAAATTAGAGTTTTTATGTGAGGCATGGCGCAGCATGTACTTGCTACCCATCTGGTCAACAGGCAGAAGGAGGGAGGGGGATATAATTAGCAAGTAGGAACAAAAGTTGAAATTTTGATTTTGGGCAAAGGAAATGGGAAACACAGTTAAAAAGTATTTTGGAATTTTTTTTTCTAGATTGTCTTAGAAATTTCTAAATTACAAGAGAAGGTTTTGCAAATATCTATTGTTACATACATGAATATGGTCCAGGCTTTTTATGGGTGTTTTAAAGTCTTTTTCTTTAATTTTCTTACTGGTTTTCGCTGGGGGAGATGTAGGATGTAGGTGGAAATAGGAAGAAAAAAACAAAAGAACAAAAGAAGAGAAAATGGATGAAAATATTGCTGTAGTGGATGGTTTGATTGTGTGCATATTTGTTTCTTAGGCCTGAAAATATTGCCATGCTTTGGGTGTACCTGAGCTCATATTGTTACATGATTCTTGACGCACAATATTAGTGTAAATTTGTGGCATATTCATGGTGTCCTGATTATGTCTGTCCCGTTTACTGATTATTTGTGAATTGTTACATGCAGTTCAAGATCTTTTCATTGAAGTCCAAGCCTTCTGCATTGAGTTCTCCCGGATTAGAGAAGCAGCTGGACTATTTAGGCTTCTTAAAACCTTGGAGTGAACAATCACTCTTGTTCTTTCTATTGCTGTTAGTCTCACCAATTTTCTTGCTTCTCTTCCTGTTTCTCTCCCGATGTTTTTTTTTTTTTTTTTTTTTTTTTTTTTTGTTTCAATCCCTAGATTGTAGATAATGGGTGTTAAAAGAGCTTAGAATTTTCTTTGGCTAGCAATTTCTGTAAACCCCTTGGACTATTGTAAAATAAACGAGGCTTTTTTAGCCAAATATTTTGTAGAAATATCGGCGAAGATGCTATGTGATTTGCTATGATCAAACTTTCTTGGCAGCATCAAAGTGTGTTGGGTGGTGCAGGTTTTGTTATAGTATAACTGTGAATTGATCTTTCTCGGAGAATAATGTGCAGGTAAGGGTTATTATTAATATTATTTATGGCAAAGGTGAAATCAACAACTTGGAGCATAAGAATGCTTATTGCTTGATTTAACAGAAACCCACTGGAATTTATGGTGTGTGTGAATTTTTGTATTCTGGCATTGGCATATGCTTGGAATGCTCATCAAAGGGTTTTTCTTTGTTCTTTTTTTTCTTTTTTTTTTGTTGTAAATGTTGCCGTCTGGGTGCTATGCTAATCATATAGTATGTTTGTATGCTTATAAGTGGATTGTATACAGTAGAGAGAGGATCCAGTATTGTTTCTAGCTTTCAAAACAACAATCCAAGCAACTTTACTGAAGAATTCCCATTGCTCAGCGTCTAAATTGTTTCATCATATGACGAGACCATTGATTGGAGTAACCGAGTGGACTGATGCCAATTGTAATTATAATTATAATGAAAATGAAAGAAAGTAATTAATAAAAATTTCTTAAAGTGAATTTCTCATTTTAAGTGAAGCTATTACACATTTTGAATATGGAGTTCGACCAAAATTTGTTAGAAATCAGCTTTAGGCCTCGTTTGGGAACTTACTTTTTAGTCAAAAAGTAAAAAGTTATCTTCTAGTCAAAAGCTAACAACTCATACAAAAAATCAAAGATACTTTTTTGACTAATTACGAAATATGTGAAAAAGTAGAGAAAAAAGAATCTTTGATTTTTTTGTATGAGTTGTTAGCTTTTTGACTAGAAGAGTAACTTTTTGACTTTTTGACTAAAAAGGTAAGTTCCCAAACGAGGCCTAAAGCTGATTTCTAACAAATTTTTGTCGAACTCCATATTCAAATGTGTAATAGCTTCATTTAAAATGAGAATTCACTTTAAGAAATTTTTTATTAATTAACGTTTTCTTTCATTTTCATTATAATTATAATTACAATTGGCATCAGTCCACTCGGTACTCCAATAAATGGTCTCGTCATATGATGAAACATTTAGTGACGCTGAGCAATTGGGAAATTTTTCAGTAAAGTTGCTTGGATTGGTTGGTTATTTGGAAGCTAGAAACAATACTGGATCTCTCTCTACTGTATACAATCCCTTATAAAGCATACAAATCTATGATGATTAGCATAGCACCAGACGGCAACATTTACAACAAAAAAAAAGAAAAAAAGAACAAGAAAAACCTTTGTATGAGCATTCCAAGCATTGATGCAATGCAGAATACAAGAAATTCACACACACCCATAATTCCAGTGGGTTTCTGTTAAATCAAGCAATAAGCATTCTTATGTCCAGGTTGATTTGCACCTTTGCCATAATATATTAATATAACCTTACATGCACATTTTGATGCTCGAGAAAGATCAATTCACAGTTATACTATAACAAACCTGCACACCACACACTTTGATGCTGCAAGAAAGTTTGATTCATAGAAATCACATAGCATCTTCGCCGATATTTCTACAAATATTTGTGCTAAAAACCTCGTTTTATTTTTACAATAGTCAAGGGGGTTACAGAATTTGCTAGCAAAGAAATTCTAAGCTCTTTTACTGACCATTATCTACAATCTAGGGGATTGAAACAAAAAAAAAAAAAAAAAAAAAAAAAACATCGGGAGAGAACAGGAAGAGAGCAAGAAATTGGTGAGACTATCAAGCAATAGAAAGAACAAGAGTGATTGTTCACTCCAAGGTTTTAAAGAAGCTAATAGTCAGCTGCTTCTCTAATCGGGAAGAACTCAATGCAGAAGGCTTGGACTTCAATGAAAAGATTTGAACTGCATGTAACAATTCAAATAATTCAGTAACGGGACAGACATAATAGGAACCATGAATATGCACAATTTCACTATATTGTGCGTCAAGAATCATGTAACAATATGAGCTCAGGTACCACCAAAGCATGGCAATATTTTCAGGCTAAGAAACAATATGCACCAATAAACAATCCACTACAGCAATATTTTCATCATTTTCTTTCTTTTGTTTCTTTTGTTTTTTTTCCTATTTCCACTACATCCTACATCTCCCCAGCGAAGAAAAAATAAAGAAAAGACTTTAAAACACCATAAAAGCCTGGACATATTCATGTATGTAAAATAGATATTTGCAAAACTCTCTTGTAATTTAGAAATTTCTAAGACAATCTAGAAAAAAAAATTCAAATACTTTATTAACTGTGTTTTCCATTTCTTTGCAAAATCAAATTTCAACTTTTGTTCTACTTGCTAATTATATCCCTCCTCTTCTGCTGTTGACAGATGGTAGCAGTACATGTCTGCGCATGCCTCATAAAAACTCTAATTTCTGTTATCATCAGCTCTCTCTTTGTAGCGAATTCATCATATAGGGAGTTGAAGATGATCTGGCACAATCAATTGTTCAAAATTACCACTTTCCTTGCTGAAGAATAAGTGAAGTGGTAATTTGAAATAATACGAGGAACACACTTCATTGTAGTCTCCCCTAAGTGCGTGTGCGCACATGCATTGAATCCTATCAACATGTGTCTTCTCATATCTAATTTTTTTCTCTTTTTTCCAATCATCTTACATAAGTTAAATTCTATTTATCACTAACAGACAATGATTGCAAGGAGTAGAGTTGCATATGCACTAAACAAAGCAATATGCTACACTATGATTATCACAAAAAAAAAAAGTAAATAGGTAAAGACCTGCATGTCAAACATCTAATAATAATATTGAATGGCTTCGAAAGCAGAAGTTTCTAACTGCATATAGAAAGCTTACATTGATAATTTTATTTCGGATTAGGCTCTGTAAGAAAACAGACAGCTCAAGTCTGTTTTGCATATACTTATCCTGCATATAAGGGCAAAGGTTTAGATCATTTGTAAAAAAAGCCTTCATAATACTTTTCTGCCAAGCATGTGTCTGTGATTCTTTTAATTTTAATAACTGATTGCAAAATGATGCTTTATTTCTTTCTAATTTGTCATCTTTACGATATCCAAAAGTAGAATCCACCTATTTAGAGTGGCAACCAAAAGTCCTTCAGTAGTGTCTTGTCTTGAAGCACAAACCAGAATCGTGGTTTGTCCAACATGTAAGCAGGGAAAATGGAATAGTGTACAAGTGGCAAGACAAATTAGTATGTATGTCTATATGTTTGTATATGCATTCACCGTATGGAATTTCTAGAATACTGAAATTCATTTTCCACGTTAGCAGGGAGTCAGGGACACTAAATGCCACTCCAAGGCATCTGACATTCACACAATAAAGTCACTAAAAACTTCCTCACAAGGCCAACAAAGGAAAAAGAAAAGAACAGAAAACCTTTTTCCTATCATCATAATAATATGCTCAGAAAAGTGTTCTAACTATTGCAGGAATAAACACAATAAGACGGCAGCCAAGGACATCCTTAGCTCTTCCAGGTTAGCTGGGCAAGGCATCTCTTGATGGCAGTAAGCACAGCTGGGGTCAAGGTCAATGTCATTGCATGTACAACATCAAAAACTTTCTATTATTACTCTAGATGAAAGCATCTGCAACGTTCAAAACACTTCTGTTGATCTTTCATATGGATCTTCTTTTGTTAGATTTCCACAAATATCAATATAATTCCAAGACTTTGCGAAACATGTCATGAAAATGGTTGTCATCATGGTTTGTTGTATGTTGCCCAACATTTTTCAAACTGAACGGCATTCTGCATAAACTTGCGATGGTGTTTGAAAACAGTTTTAAGAGCATCTTTTGGCCATTTGATCTGATTGTAGCCACTAAGCAACATGAAGGAGAATGCTGTGGTGATTCATGATTTATAAGGGTTTCCACGTTGGGGAGAGGGAATTCATCTTTTGGTTGGATTTGGTCGAATCTCTTTAGTCAAGTAACCACTGTTCTAACCCCTTCTATTATTATCATTGGAATTATGCTAGGGAATAACGCGGGGT